TATATATAAGAAATGTTAATTTAACGTACAAAACTTATATAAAAAAACCTAAAAAAAAAAAAGAAAAATTCAGCTGTTATCCTAACAAAATTGTTATTATTCGTTTTTTTTTCTAAGATTTAGAAAAAATGTTAATCGGCCATCAGCTAATTAAGCTACCTAGTTGAACCTAAACATTTTTTGCTTTGAATAGCTTTGAGCGTTTGATGCATCATTTTTGCAATAACTGTTTTGTTGTTGTGCTTCCCTGTAGGACGCCATCGATGATAAACTGGACACTAAACACTACCCTTACATCTCCACCCGCTCCTCTGCTTCCTTCAGCACCACTGCAGTCAGGTACAGATAGAGATGCATAGACAAATGTTAAGTGTTTGAATTTGATAAATTTATGCTCCACAGAGAAGCTTTCTGATGATTGCCATGAAGGTGATCAATAAATGAGTCACTTTCTGACTTTCTGTTTAGCAGATAAAACTATAAAATCTAACAGAGAAGACAAACTCCTAAAAAGTGTGTTTTAAAGAGAAATATTTATATATTTTATTATCTTGAACGCATGAATGTGACAAGCTAGCAAGAAAGAATAATTGGTCCCAAAGAAGCATTAATTATCACACATCAATTCAGCTAGAGTAATGAAGACTGCTCTAATCAATATGAGATTCATTGTTTTGATGCGACAGAGAATGTTAAAAAAAATAAATTAATTTAAAAAAAGCTTAAGAACATTTGTCAATCTTTCTATTAGGTCCTAATGATATAAAGGGCCAAAACCCCAAAGCTCTATCTCAGACTCTATGAAATATGACAGCAAAATATTTTCTACTTTCTACACAGAGCTTTAGCGGTGCTAAGAATTACCGTTGACTTATTTTCTGTTTTATATGAGGGGCAGAGTTCTTGGTAACAGACCTCAAAGCTGCTCGGTGACCTCTGACCTTTTCCAGTTTAGAAAAAGATACAGTAGTTAAAAGGCTTTTGATTGGGGGTCACACAGCAACAAAAAGGATTGTGTTAATATTTAAAGGGTGAATACTGTTTGTTTTTTTTATTGTGGCAGTGCTCGATACGGACACTGGCACAAGAACAAGACACCCGGAGAGTACCGCACTGGTCCGCGAGTTATGGTCTTCATCATTGGAGGCGTGTCTTTCAGCGAGATGCGTTGTGCCTATGAGGTCACACAGGCCAACGGGAAGTGGGAAGCTGTCATTGGTGAGTAGAGCAACATTGGATCTTTGCTCAAGCTCGAACAAATATCACACTCAGCTTTAAAAAAAAACAGAATCACTGTGTTTCTGAGAGTTTATGTTTTGGCAGAGAAGTCTTAAAACTAAATAATAAAAAAATACTTTAAAAAAGATCCTGTGAGGTACAAGGAAACACGAATCTGGCCTACAGGTTTTCTGGGACATGAACCAGAAGAAAGCTTAAATTGGACAAAGCCAGTCACATCATGTTAGAGTGAGCTTCATTGAAATGAAAGCTAGATATATGTATTTTAGAAATATAAGCAATATTATTTTCTTTTTCCCTCTATGAAAACAAAATTAAAATAGATTTTTTTGGGGTAATTGTGTGACGGTGTCCTCTATCTGAACTCATAAGTTAGAATTGCTCAGTAGGAGCTATAATCAGCAACAACTTATTGACCCCACATGCAAGCGATGATGGTAGTTTCAGTTATAAACCAGGGTTTACATTTGTTTGTTGATGTTTCAGTTAATCTGTGTCTTAAAGCTGGTTAAGATGGCAAGATTTTAAAATTGTCTGGTGTTTTTTAAAACTTAGAATAGACCATGAACATGATAGTAAAATAAATAGGGGATAAGACGGTTTTCGTTTACAGTCAGCGTGTTCTCTCCAGCAACAAAACGATCACATCAGACTGCATACAAGTCAATTTCATGTAGCTGTCAGGCAGGATATCTGACCACACCTCTACAGATACATACGTTCATGCAGGGTTCCTACAGCATAAGGCAAGTTCAATTCAAGACCTTTTAAGACTTTTTAATTCCACTTGAATTAAAATTTAAGACCAAATTTTCAAGAAACACAAGAAAAACCTGCTTGCGACAACTTAACCCAAAGGTTTATTTTAACATAAACCACTGCACTAATGTTTAAAATTTTGAAAAGCTTCCCATACATGAAGAAAGCTAAAAACACACAAATGAAAGATATATTTTAACAATTATTTAACTAAATTCACAAACTTTGTTTTAGCAGGGAACAAAACAAATCAGTTTTAAAGCCACAACATAACCAGTGCGAAGTCTTTTTTGCAGCTATTTTTCTTTGTATCGTTTTTTTAGTATGTTTGATTTGGTGATTAGTGGAGGCGTTGCAGAGACAAGGGTGGAACAAAACTGAGAAATACCGGCTGTTTCTCGGTCACTCGATTTTGACGCTTTGTGTTTTGCGTTTCGCATGTGCGACTCCACTGCCTTAATTCCCATCGTTCCGAGCTTGAATGACTTCTTGCACAAAATCCACTAAGCCTCATGTATGTTCCCTGGTTTTAGCCATGGAGAAAACTCTTGGCTGGAGCCAATTTTTGTTACATTTACACTTGCTCATATTTTCCTGACAAAAAGTAAATGGCGCATCTCCCAAATGTCCCGGCCGCAACAACACTTTTATTGGTTCCCCTATCGGGACGGAACCAATAATGGCGAGCCGTTATTTTTTTTTTTATTAAAAAAAAAAAAGGTACATTTTAACGTTTTATTTAGATTACAAAACTAAATCATAATAAAAATAATCCCAATTATGATGTTTTAAAAATTGAGACCTACGAAAGACAAATTTAAGACATTTTAATACCAATTAAGGCCTTAGTTTTATTTTGAAGAATTCAATGGCTTTTAAGACTTTTTAAGGACCCGCGGGAACCCTGTCATGTATATGAATTCAAGTTTGTACAGTTCAGGAAAAGAATTTGTACGATTATCTTGCCGTGTGAATCCCCCACCCCATAGATAATGCTGCACAGGAACTTTTAAAAATGTTTTGTGTTTCTACAAAGATGCATTATAAATTTCTCATTAGATGCAATTCACCTTAGCTTAGTTATTTAAGTATTAATTATTTGCCAATTCATAGCCAGTGAAGCTCTCATTAAGACATGTAGCTCTAATTAACATCTAAATTGTACATATATATATATAATCTAACAAGGAAAAAATGTATTGACTTATGTAGAAAATATTCTAATGTAACCAGGAGATTAGATCGATATCTGGCTAAATATAGATCAGGTTATTTTCTTTTTCTTTTTTTTTTGCATCAATTAAAACTTTTAAATTCAGATTACCACAAAATAACAGCTGATAGACTTTCCAGCAATCCCTCATCCTCAGCAGATAGAGGGATTGCTGCAACAATGGTGACAGTATAGCAAATACCGACAAAGTATTGTTGTTAAACAGTACTTTATTGGACAATACAGTCTGTCTGTATGATTTAGGTGCTAAAAAGAGTTATTTTAGGTTTCACTGTTTTCTTTGCATGAAAACAAAGAAACAGTCCCTATTTTTCTTAACTTTTCCATGAAAAATAAATTCCGAAATTCTTTCCTGTTAGTCTGTAATAATAACTGCTGTGACAGAGTTTATGTCAAAGACTTGACATGAAGAGGTGCTCCCATTCAATGGTATTAAGTAAAAAGTGACAATGTTATAAAAAAAAATTTATGTGGCAGACTCCTTGGTTTGTATGTCAAAAATTTTGAGGGTGTCTTGCAAAATTATTTATAATCTCTGAATCTTTTCTCACATTACGACCACATATTTCAACTGATTTTAATAGGACTTATTTCGATAGAGCAACACAAAGTTATTAAGTAGTAGAAAATCTACATATTTAGTCTGATTGTACTAAATAGTGAAAGTTAGTTTCTCACTATCAATACAGCTGTTCTTAAAGTTTTTTTTAAAGAGAACATTAGATAGCCAGCATCTTAAAGAACAAGGATGATGTCAGGGAGAAAGATGAGAAGACTTGAGAAGGGAGTGGAGGTTCACTATCTTTCAGGACAAAATACAGCGGAGGTTTTTGTGTTCTTCAGCCCTAAATATATTAAAGTATCTGTATCAGATTTTAACATCAAGACAGGCACCCTCTAATGTAGCTCAACTATTTTATTTGGTTTGTCTCGTTATGTGCAAAATTGCAAGAGACTACTCAAAAGGTTTAGTTAGGACAATGGATGTTACGCTTTCAATATTTGTTAAAATCTTGTGTAAATTCCCTTTTACTTTTACATAATGAGCGGCTTTGTGTTAGTCTATCTAAAATATTGTCAATACTTTGGAGTCTGTGGTTGTGACGGTGCAAAATGGGGAAAGCTCAAGACGTATGAATATTTCTGCAAGGTACTGTACTGTGTTCCATACAAAATGGTCCTTTATGTCCTAAAGCTTTACGTTCCAGTGTTTTATTGTTTCCTGTTGCTGTGCTTTAGCTGTTGTCTTTCAAACAATGTTCTGTTTAAATTGCAGCCAAGCCTTGTCTTCTTCTCTCTTACTTTTTTGGCGTGTTTGTCCCACATTGTGAGTGCATATCTGTCGTTGGATGAGTGCGTCTTTGTGTGTTTGCTCTTTACCACCCTTGTCTTGTTTTTTTTTTTTGAAAGAGTGAGGTAGGTTGGGGGTCTGGGAGGGACGTGGCACGTGCTGTGAGACGAGTGGTGAAGCCGCCTCTGTTCCTTCACAGGTTCCACCCACTTGCTCACCCCAACCAAATTCTTATCGGACCTGCAGCACCCCGACTTCCGAGAGTCCACTAGGGTGTCCTTTGAGGACGCACAGCCCTCAGACGAGTGAGGCAGAGACAGATTGGGAGGGAGGGAGACAGAAATCACACAGAACAAAGTAAAGGCAGCCGCTCAGAGAAGCCCTTTCTGAACACTTACAGCACAAAGGGCTTCCTTTTGGTTCCTCCCTCTTCTTTAAACACTCAGAACTGTTTTATGTTTCCTCACCCTCCTCTTCCTCCTCCTCCCTGTGTCCCACTGGGATGGTCATTCCTGATCACTCCTCATTGCATGGTCTGCTCCCACAGAATCTTCTCCCTGTATTACAACCACTAAAAATCCTTCAAAAGATCCATATATTTAGTTTAAATTACCAACTCTCGAAGATAGCAGTGAGGGAATCAAATTGTGAACAATCACTGGAAGCAAAGAGGAAGCTTTAGAAAAATAGTTCAACCTCTTTTTTTTTTTTAGGGATCTCCAGATATATTTGATAAAAGTTTGCCACATTAGCAGAACTCACACATTTGTGGTAATCTTTGCCAATCAGCAGCCATGCTCTGAGGATGTCGTGGCTCCATCCCTGCTGCCTTCTCTCCTCATCTCAAATGGGTGGATTAAATCACTCTGATTTATGACGGCCACCCATAAGTCCTTTCAGACCGTCTCTCACTCATTCACGTTTTAATCTACTCAAACATCTTCACTGCAGAGTTCTGACAGTCACAGATTTCTTTAAGGGAAGATACTTGATTTTTTAAATAAAGAAAAGTGTTTTTATTTTTATTCCCGTGTAAAAACAGCATCCTCTCAGCTCACCATCACTTCACTGTAATCTTCTAAAATGATCTTGATCAATAGATGTTGCCTTTTGAATGGCTGCTCTAATATGTTTAAACACAGAAAATTGAGCCAAGAGGACTTTCTATGGATAAGAAAAGCAGAGTACAAATATTTTTCAGTAGTTGTTCCTAAAACAGCTATATGCTGGAAAGAAAGGGCTAAACAAAGAAACACTGAACAAGACTAGTTTCCAGTGCAAATGAAAACAAAGACTAAACATGGATCAAGTATTGCCTTCAGTGGCTTTACTGGGAAAAACAAAACTCCTAAGCATGAAAGAACTAAAACAAGATTACTTTCAAAATTCAAAGGGTACATGGTAGCGGTTGAAGCAGAGAAGCTCTGAGCCAGGTGTACTTTTAAGTATTACATATAGTAGAAAACAGTGATATCCTCCACAGTAGCTAATTCCATGATTTCTGTACAGCTATCAAAGAATAATTGGGCCAGGAGTACTCCTCGTGGCCAGTAAAGCATAAATAAGGATCGCGGAGGTGGCTTAACTGAGTGAATTCCAAAAAAGTAAAAAAAAAACAAAAAAAAACAAAAAAACACTGGACTTTGTTTCAAGTTTGGAGACATTTTGCTTCCCATCCGGGAAGCTTTCTCAATTCACAATGTCTGGAGTAGCATTTGTGTTCCAGGCTTATAGAGAGGCCCAAACAAAAGCCTTGTTATGGTTTAGGGAACATACAAATTAAAACGAAAAAACAGCTCCACCCCTTGGTAATGGAGAGTCATTGAGGTCGTTGTTAGCCTGGAATACCCGATACTGGTCCATGCCTTTGAAAGGGGAGGGTCATTGTTGGCCTGGCTGACCAGGCGAGATGTTTTGGTCCCCTGCATAGTGATGCGGGTTGAGCTGATAGCGAGAAGGAATCAACTCTATCGCTGTGTTGTAGGTTTTTAAGAGCTAGAACCTGAGACCAGCCTCTCTGTTTAAGGTTGGTTTTGCTCTCTTAACGTAAAAGGCTTCCTTCCCGCTATCATCTAAACCCCCATCTCACCTGGTCAGCCAGGCCAACAATGACCCTAATAACTCCCCTTTTCAGAGGCATGGGCCAGTAACGGGTTTTGCAGGCCAACAACGACTCCCCATTACCAAGGGGTGGACCCATTTTTTTCAGTTCAATTTGCATGTTTTCTAAGGCAGCGGTCCCCAACCTTATTTGCACCACGGACCGCTATATGTCAGACGATATTTTCACGGACCGGCCGAGGGGGTGGGGGGGTAAATACGATCAAGTAAAATGATACGACTGGCATAAAATCAAATACAAACAGCATAAAAATAAAACAACAAACCGGTACCATCTAGGCGTAATCGGAGACAATGACACACAAAGTGTGCTCCTGATGTCCAGTCTGCTCCGTAGCTTTGTTTTGGTCGCTGTAACCGCAGAAAATCACGCTTCACAAAGATAGGATGTTATAGATAGGAGGAGTCTTGACCTGAATTAACCTGTGTCAAGAGGCACAGATGCACCGACTGATGTAATTGGGAGAGAATACCGCAATTTTTTTATATTTTTCAAAATAAAACATCACTCAGACTCTGATCGTCAATAAATTACATCTATATATATACTTTTTTCTGTGCGGCCCGGTACCAAATGACTAACGGACCGGTACTGGTCCACGGCCTGGTGGTTGGGGACCGCTGTTCTAAGCCATAACAAGGATTTTGTTTGGGTCACTCTATAAACCTGGAACTCAAACGCTACTCCAGACATTTTGAATTGAGAAAGCTTCCTGGATGCGAAGTGAAACGTCTTCAGACTTGGAAAATAAAGTCCAGTAGTTTGTTTTTTGAAATTTCTTGGAATGACTATGACCTGGAATCTGAATCTTCACGAGCATTAACTGAGGGAAGAAGTGCGGCTATACACAGGGCAGCTGAAATGGGGATATTTTCTATAGGAAATAAGATTGCCTGATGGCAGTATCATTAACAGGTCTCACAAAGGCTTCATCTAGGAAGGAAACGCAGCTAAAACAACAAATATAGACATAGCTGAACACAGAGGCAGGAGATAATTTCAAAGTAAAACCGCAGTAAAAAATAAAAATCCGATGACCATGGAAAAGATTAGAATAACAAATAACAAGAAAGTCTGTTTCTCTTAAAGCTACAGTGTGTAATAATTACAGGCATATAAAGTCAGAAATTGAATATATTATACATAACTATGTTATTTATCATCACCTATGAGCTCAGCCTTTTAACCATAATATTTGCGTTGCCTTAGAATTCGTTATTTATAATTACATAGGAGCGGGTCTCGCAGCCATGGAGGCTGACATCTTTGCGCTATGGCAAGCGCAGAGGCAACAAACTAGCGTTTGCGAGATCTCCCATTACGCTCGAAAATAACTACGGCAAGTTGAGAGAGATGAACTGAGACGGTACTGAGCACTAGATG